CAGAGTGATGCGTGTGGGATATCCAGGGTGATCCAGTGTATGTGAACAGTGAGATGTTTGGGCGCTGAAGTCGCCATAGCCAATTGAGAGTGAACTCGTATCTGAAAGCCATATCTCTGAGTTTTGAGTGGGCGCATGTCGCCAGTATGCTGCGTTGCTGTTTACATGCATGAAAAGTGTGTTTGAGAACGAGTCTGATTGCAATACTGAAGCTTAGCTTATTTAGTATTTACATTTTGTCATTTTCGGGTATGGATAGGGTCAAAGCCTCAAAGGTACATGGTACTACTATTAGACAGTGCCGCACAATGGGCCTCACTCCGCTGTACAACATTGTTAACATATCTTGACGGCATGCTGATCCAAATATATTCGGACTCGCCCAACATTTGCCGGATCGTTATCGAGGGAGAGGTGTGGAGCAGCCGTCGCTGTTGGCCTCTCTGTCGTTACCCAATCATTTTCTTTGCTGTCTTTTCATCCTGACCTAGCTTTAAGTGGATGGGAAACCTGGCAAAGGAATTTTGGCACTGTTTCACCGTGTATCATCATACTATTATGCCATAAATGAGCAAGTACTGATTGATTCTCGCCCCCCAAACCCCCCCCCCCCCAGCCCCGCTTAAAGCACCACTACCTTTTCCCATGTCGGCCTCGGGTGGGCCTTCGATATTTTAGGAGACCGAAACGAAATGACGGTCGCCGACGAGATTTATCAATGACGGCCGTCGTCGGGCCCAGCCCCCGATTTTTTTAGGAGAAGGCTATTTTCCCATTTTCCCGACAGCGGGGAAGGTAGTGGTGGTTTAAAAGAAGGGTGATGGCCTTGAGGTGTCATCTTCAAACTGACCAGCCCCAGGTAAATACAAACTGAGGTCTGCATTTCAACAGTTCATGGGTGTACCAATTGCGCTAGGCCCGCTAGTGAAGTATTGACTGATTCTTTTTTCCTTTTTCTTTTTTAAAAGGGCAACAGCCTGAGATATCATCATTGAGCTGACCAGGCCCAGGTAATTCACAATTATGTCATTCTACTCATCTGAAGATTTGAACTCAGGTCCGTAATTTCAACAGTTCATAGGTGTACTGAGCTGGGCGCATTGGTTGTATTGATTGATCATGCGTGTGCAATAACCCATGCCATATGTTTCGTGGAAACTGAGGGTCTCAGAGGGCCTACCTGGCCGCCCTCAGCCCAGGCCGAACAAGGGCAAAAAGGCCCTACAAGAATTCAGGGCCTGGGCGTGTAACAGTTGACTTCAGTCAACTGTCGGTCCATCCAACAGTAGTCCAAAGGTACCTAGCCCAGGCCGCTGGTCAAGCACACACATTTGTTTGTATGCAGGTACCCAGACAGCATCAGGTCCAAGGGAGAAGTCTGCAACTGTATCATCCGGGCCTTCAGATGTGAGTCAATCTGGACGACTGAGGAAAAGAGGACCGAGGCCAGACAGCCTCGACATCTGCTACTTAAGGCTGGCCTCGAGAGAGTCAAGCATTCAGCTTTGACGCTGGCTCGACTTTGACACGACGCTGGCTTCATGCTGGCTGTGCACAAGCGTTGCGGACGACATCACAAGGCGGAGGCAGCATGCTGGCGCTTCTTCAGTGCGCCAGGCCATGCTGACGTGGCGCTGCCTATGGTCTACCTGGCATGCTGATGTGGCGCTGCCTCTGGTATACGTGGCCCTGCCTCTGGTCTATGTGGCATGCTGATGTAGCGCTGCCTCTGGTATACGTGGCGCTGCCTCTAGTCTACGTGGCATGCTGATGTGGAGCTGCCTCTGGTATACATGGCGCTGCCTCTGGTATACGTGGCGCTGCCTCTAGTCTACGTGGCATGCTGATGTGGAGCTGCCTCTGGTATATGTGGCGCTGCCTCTGGTCTACGTGGTGCTGCTTCTAGTCTACGTGGCATGCTGATGTGGTGCTGCTACTGGTCTACATTGGTGATGTGGCGATTGCCACTTGTTTCGATTGGTGACGTGGCATTGTCCCCCTCCAGCAGGGATTATTGTGTGAATTTTCATCTTCTCGTTTGTCTGTTCCCCCTCCACTCTCTTCTATTGATGATAATGAGATACTGTTGAGATATCACTTCACGAGTTGGAGACTTTGCTGCAGATACTGACTCTACAGGTATCTGACAACTTCTGAGTATCTGTCAGGCTGGGTTCATTACACATGGAAAAAAAAATGTGTGATGAAAAATCAGATGAATCTTATAATGGTGAAACGCCACAAACTATGTGGAAACAGAACAGGTTTGGCGCAGGGCTTCCCAAAATTTAAGGGGGTTTCATACTTTCCAGAAGGGAAAACAAAAGAATAAACTTGATAACAAGTCAATAGAACACAGCTTTTCAGTCATCCAGTTCACCCAATCAATGCCAATATTGTAGATGAGCAAGCTAGCCTCTAATGGGCCCAGCCTCCCTTCCTCCATAATCCCAAACAATAAGCATGACCTTTCTCTTTTGACTTCCTTCAAGTTCTCTGACCTTTCTTTTCATGGTGGAGGGGAGGGGGGAGGAGGRRGGARAGGGGKGGGGGGGTGGGGGGGGGGKGGAGGAAGCTCAAGCAATGAGTTGGCCAATAAAGACAAGAAAGCAGGAGAGATTATTTAACTCCGTCACTTCGATGTAACTTAGCTTCATGAACATTTATCTACCATTTACCACGGCTCAAATCCGCAGAAAATACAACTTGCAAATGGGACATAGTAAAATACCTTTGCAGGCCGCCACCATTTGCTTTACCAGGCATCTGTCTTGCTCCCCTTCCATTTTTAGAACCCGATTTTCTTGTTCCACGTCCTCCTTTCCTTCTGCTAAAGTTTTGTCAACCCGGGCTCGTAACTGCATCCAGAACATTGTCCTCAGAGATTGATTTCAGAAAGTTCACTGTGGAGGATAGTTACACCAAGGCAATAGAAAATACCAATGCCAGCGGAGTTTAAGAGAGAGAGAAAGGCAAGAGGGAGGACAAGGGTGGAGAGATGACAAATACTTTTTTCAGATGTTCAACGTGATGGTGACTGAAAAAAAACATCCCTCAGTTCATTATCCCCTCGTACTCAATTTCGGATTCCCGATGACAAGGGTGCTCCGCTTCCATTTTTAGAATCGGTGAGGATGGCGGTGAAGGTGCTGGCCTCGACGCTGGGTGAATGACAAAATGCTGATGGCAGCAGTGATAGCAATCATAACAATGGCAATGACAACAAGAACTGGGATACCAGCCGGGCTGCCCAGGTGGCCTTCACCGAGCAAGGTCCGCGCAAAGTCCTGGACAAGGTCGCCTCCCCTCCCCCCCCAAAAAAGAGAAAAAAGAACACAGAAAAAGTTGAAAAACTAAACTATGCTTTACTGCATTGAAAACCAACGACTTTTGCCTGAGGGTCACTCCGAAATTCTTTACTAAATTCAAAAAAAATACACAGAGTAGAGCTTGCTAGTAGTTGCTACTAGCATCCTGATGGTCTGAGGACTGCCCCGATGGGAACGTGCAAAAAAAAAGTCTGTAGTGCCAAAAAAAAAAAAAAAAAAAACACAAACAAACAGCTGTCCCCTGATGAGGAGAAGAAAGCTTTTTTTATAAAAGAAAAAAAAAAGAAATTGAAAAACAATGTCATGTGGGTCCAGGCTGCCCTGGCCCAGGCAACTGGGCCCGGGCCACTCAGGTAGCCTAGAACGACAATCACGTTCACAATCAAAATAACAACACCAAAGATGAGGACAATGACAACAAAAATGAAGCCAATGAAGCAGCGATTGCAATGGCTACATACTTGCAACCGCACGAGCCGCACGGCCGTACGGTGCGCTGCGCTGCATGATCAGGGAGCTTGCCCGTGCGCCGCACCAGAAATAATCTCTGTTTCTATGTTTTTTTCCTGTTTTCGTAGATACAGAAGAGTGTACTACCTAAGGAACAGATCCTGTTCAAGTACACTCGTACAAATCTTTCTTTTTGTCTAATTGGGCATCATAGATAGCCTCAAATAGGTCTTTGGGGCATCAGTCTTAGGGATTACTCACACTACCACTCTTCCAAATGTATCTGGCTGCAAGTACGGCTACACATGGATGTAACTGGCTGCATTTCCGTCCAGAAATAAGTAAAAAGGTTCTAGTGTGAGTATGCCCGTAACTGTTAAGTGGTGAAACCGCTTTTCCAACTTTTTTTTTTTTTTATCATCCTACATGGACCTACAACAAAATTTTGAAGGGGGCACAGGTGAACACTGATCCAGGTCTGCCACCCCTTTTTTCCTGGGTGGCTATTTCCCCTGTGGGCCGCACATGCCGTGCGCCGCACTGGAACCGTGCGGCTTGTGCGCCACACATGCGGAATTGCCTGCACATCGTGCACTTGCATGTATGAATGGCAACAACAACAACAATCATTATTATGACAATGATGAAGATATAGTGAATGTCTGCAACGCTCCATCAAAATAATAACAACAAAGGTGATGAAAACAGGGGCAATCCCTGAGCGGCCCAGACTGGCCAGCCGAGGTCCCGGCATGGTCCCAGGCAATCACAGTGCACAGTATTTAACAACAAAAAACAAAAATAATAAAAAAGTTATGAGAAAAGTTCGGAAAACTCGGAAAAAAAAAGGAAGATTGTCACGCCCAGGGTAACCGGGTGTGACGCCCGGGCCACTCTGGCATCCAAAAAAAAAAGAAAAAATTGTTTTGTTTTCTACGCTCTCTCAGAGGACCCCAAATCCGGTCTCTTTTCGTTTTTTGAGAATTGGCTGTCAAGAGGGGGAAGGGGGGTATAAATTGGTTTTAAGGGGGCTAAAGGGGTTTAAACTTTAAACCTAGGCTGCCAGCTGTCCAATTGGGAGACGTCTCTGGGAGACGGTCAGGGGAGAGTTGTCCGGAAAATCGGACAACGGCTTCGCCCCTGCCCGCTTCTCACCCTCACGGCGTCCGATTCCCCATGGAAGCGCCCCCCCCCAATTTCCCCACTGATCGGACACAGGGCCCCGGGCGGACGACCGACTGGTTGTCCGATCAGACAACCCTGAACGGTCAGGGGGGGTCCGGACGTCCGATCGGGTAACGTAGCTTTAAACTTTAAAAAGGGGGTTGCCTTAGTGTGATTCTGTTTTTTTTTTTTTTCTGTTCCCCTCCCCTCCCCCTCCTCCGATTCTGTGAGGAATTCTGATGTGACCCTCAGCCAGATGTCGTTTGTATTGCAATTCTACACAACGTATTTCTCCCCCCGAATTTTCCTTTTTTTTTTTTTGAGGGGGGGGGCGCTGGAGCTGCCAGCGCCCCTGCCCAGGGGTCATACCCGACTGGGCAACCGGGCGTGTATCCAGGCACAAGTTGGGTGCCCGGGCGTCCGCAAAAACAGCCTTGGAAAAAAGAACATATGTTGAGTAGAATTGCAATACAAACCACTTTTGACTGAGGGTCTCCTTGAAATTCCTTACCAATTTCAAGGTGAAAATGAAATGCGAAACAACTTTTAAAGTTTAAAGTTTAAAATTTAAACCCTTTAAAACCCTGTTTATAACCCCCTTCTGGTGACCCACCGCCGAATTGGAAGGAAAGGTCGGATTGTGACTGCTCAGTCCAATTCCAACCATGGCCTGAAGCCAGATTTTTGACCTGCCAGGTTTTCACAGGTGAATGGACCCCTGTCTGCATGCCCGGCCGGGCGACTGCCAAGCACTGGATGAGGATGATAATGAAAAAAACAATGAAGGCGAAGAGGAAGAAGCAGTAGCAGCACAAGAAGAAGAAGAAGGAGGTAGTCAGATGTGCCTCACCTGAGATAGAACAAGGGTATTTCTAAGGTACTCCTCCTCCAATGCAACAGATCCTCCATTCAGATGTGCAAGAGGTATTGTGAGCTTAACCACCGTCAGAACAGGCCTGGGCATCACCTGCACCACAAATCATCAATCAATTATGAATTTTGAGGGGCAGGCCCACAAGGCCCAACCACATGGAAGGGAATTTGAAAACCACCCTCCAGAGGAGACCAGCTTTCTTTGTTTGTGTGAATGAACGGTATCCATATCAGTTCTTTTCTGTCTGTATGTCTGTCTGCCTGGGCATTGCTGTCTGTCTCTGCCTGCCTCAACCCTCCAGAG